ATGCTGAGCAAGTAGTCTGAGAAGCTATATGAAGAAGAACACGTCATTAGGATTGGAGGAAGGCTCATTAACAACCTGCAATATGCAGATGACACACCTTGTTTGCTGAAAGTAAAAAGGACTTGAAGCACTTATTGATGAAGAGCAAAGTTTACAGCCTTCAGGATGGATTGCACCTCAACATACAGGACACAAAAATCCTCACAAGTGGACAAATAAGCAGCATTATTCTAAATGAAGAAAAGAATGAAAATTTCATTTTACTTCGTTCCACAACCAACATCCATGGAAGCAGCAATCAAAAAACTGATGTATTGCATTGGTCACATCTGTGGAAAAGGCCTCTTTAAAGTGTTAAAAAGCAAAGATGTTATCCTGAGGATTAAGTTAGTCTAGATCCAAGCTATGGTATTTCCCATCACCTCATATGCACCAGAAATCTGGACAATGATTAAAGAAGACCAAGAAGGAATTGATGTTGGCGTAATATTGAATATGCCATGGACTGCCAAAAGAATGACCAAATCTGTCTTGGAAAAAGTACAGCCAGAATGCTCCTTACAAGTGTTCATGGTGAGACTTCATCTCACATACTTTGGAAGGACCAGTCCCTGGAGAAGGACATCATGCTTGGTAAAGTAAAGGGCCAAAGAAAAAGAGGAAGATCCTCAACCAGATGAATTGATGCAGTGGCTGCAGCAATTGGCTCAAACGCACCAACCATTGTGAAGATGGGCTTAGCAGCATTTCATTCTTTTATACACAGGCTTCTATGAGTTGAAGCTGACATGGTGGCACCTAGCCACAACAGGTTGTGTCTCAATAGTTAAGTTCAAAATTGGTCTTGTTAATTTGGCTGAGTTAGATACTGAGTAGAATATATTTGTGTTCAATTCATCCAATTACATTCATGTGACTAAACTTCTCACTAACCATGAAAATTTGTGCAATATAGAACCCCAGGGTGGTAGCAGAATCTATAGGGTATGTTCTCTGCCCAGAGTACCCTTCTTTGATTTACATTTTATGCAAAAACTCAGCTCTTTTTCTTTTTCATTTCCCTCTTTTTTTCCAGAAAGTGCCATTGTGGTTAAAATCCAGGGTTATTTTGATGCCTGGCAAGCTCTGCTTCTCAAACCAGACATCTTCTTTAAGATTTCTTGGCTCTACAAAAAATACGAAAAGTCTGTGTAAGTTACACAAGTTTGGAAGATTTATAAGTGAGATTGAATTGTTTTTTGTTTGTTTGTTTTTTCATTATGTCTTTGCTATTGTTGGCTTATTCAGTAAGGTTCCTACTCTTTATAGTACGTAAGAGAGCTGCTTTAAAAGTTGCTGATGAAATGCTTCTAACAGCAATTTGATAGCATTCAGTCAGGTCAAAAAGTAACAGAAGCTTGTGGCTGGGGCAGGTTCTCAACAAGGAGGCCAAGCATATAGTCTAAGAGTTTCATCTCTGGAAGTAGGACACTGATTATATTTTGAGTTGAAGAGAAGGATTGGCTGACCCTATCAAACTTTCCTTTCATACCCTCTATGCATATCTGGAATGAAAACAGAAAGAAACAAGAAACACAGAATCTTTTTTTTTTTTTTGCTTTTGAAGGAATTTAACATTATTCCACTTAGAGAAAATTACAATAATTTAAAATAATTCATTTTCATAGTGAGCTAAGTTTTTGCTTTTTGTTGGTGTTGCTGTGGTCATCATTGTTTGGTTACATGTGGTGTGTCTTTGGAATCTTGAAGGTGTCATTGTTAGGTTTTGAAGCCACAGCCCTGATTTTGCTACTGCCATCGAGAAATTATATTTAAGTCCTTAGCATGAAGAAGAAAATGTCTATAATTTAAGAAAAATTGTGAAGAAATAAAACATAAATTTACTAATTCATGAGTCCTAATAATGCTAATGAAAGCAGATAACTGTATTTAAACAAACGGCAAATGAATCTGTCTTTGCTAGATACAGATAGATTATAAATTGACTTTTTATTTTTTCCAGCAAGGATTTGAAAGATGAATTCGAAATTCTAGTTGAAGAAAAGAGACACCAGCTTTCTATGGCAGAGAAACTGGAAGACAGTATGGATTTTGCCACTGAGTTGATTTTTGCCGAGGTACTAATCTAGCCTAACCATAACTCCCACATAACATGCATGTATGACTCTATGTGTATATATGTGTGTGAAGATTCCCTCTTGTAACTGTTGCATATTTTTGCTTCTAAGCACTTTCTCTATTGATGTTGTTGTTGTTGTACAACTATAATACCCAACTCAAATAGGTCGTACATTAGTCATTCTAGTAAGGTTGGTCTTTAAACTTACAACTGGTCTGCATTTATACAACACCATGCTATGGAAACAGGTGGGTGGAGGTTGGTGAGATAAGTGTGGGTGGGATGGAGTCCAAAGACACTAAATCTATGGATGATTGGTTAAAGTGTTCAGTTTTCAGTTCAAGATTGTCATATAAAATGTTCGTAGTCAATTTCCATGATTTCATTGTGTTGATCCTTTAGTATCACCTCCCTTCCTTTTGTGAAACTCCAATTCACTTCTTTAATTTTTATCCCCTCTTGATTGTTCAGAAACGTGGTGACCTGACAAAAGAGAATGTGAACCAGTGCATATTGGAAATGCTGATCGCTGCGCCTGACACCATGTCTGTTTCTGTGTTCTTTATGCTATATCTCATTGCAAAGCACCCTAAGGTTGAAGAGGCATTACTGAAGGACATTCAGACTGTTCTTGGTAATCATTTATCAAAAAGTAATGCCCACTGCTGTCAAGTCAATTCCAACTCATAGGGACCCCATAGAATCAAGTAGAATTGCTTCATGGTGTTTCCAAGGTTGTATACTTTTACAAAAGCAGACTGCTATATCTTTCTTGGGTTTGAACTGCTTACCTTTCAGTTAGCAGTCAACTGCTTTAACCACTGCACCAATGCACTGTCATTGAGTCAATTCCCATATATAGAGACCCTATAGAACAGAATAGAAATGCTCCTTAGGGTTTAAGAGACTATAAAACTTTACTGGCGCCTCATCTTTCTCCCACTCTGGGTGGATTACTGCAAAGGCAACCAGGGGAGAAAATTTTCATCAAAACTGGTTAGGTCTGACTTTGACTATGTAGACCCAGCCTAGGCATCCATCTCTGGGAAGGCTGTGGTGCTATTTTGCTTATAAATCAATAGAAGGATTGAATGGTCCCGATAATTTAGAGTAGTGATGATGATGGTGGTGGTGGTTGTGTGCCATGGAGTTGGTTCTGATTCATAGCGACCCTGAATAGGGCTTCTGAGGCTGTAAATCTTTACAGGAGCCGAAAACCTCATTTTTCTCCTGTGGAGCGACTGGTAGAGTCAAACTGCTGACCGCGAGGTTAGCAACCCAACCTGTAACCCACTACGCCATTAGCACTCCTATGATTTAGAGTAAGGGACAAAAACTCAAATCATCTCAGAGGTCAAGCAGATAAGGTTAATTAAGAAGCAGGCTGGAGGTGATTGTATGTAGAACCACAGAGTAACGTCCTCCCTCAAGGAGTCAGTATGGAGTTCCCTGGTGGTGTAGTAGGTTAAGCATTGGGCTGGTAGCCACAAGGTCTGCCATTCATGCCCACCAGCTGTTCTTCAGGAGAAAGATTTAAAGTCCTGGTAATCATAAGGAGGTGTTCTACTTTGTCCTACAGCGTCACTGTGAGTCAGAATCAAGTTGATTTTGGTTTGTGTTTGTAAAAGGCTACTTACTGGCCACTCAACTCCAGATCTTTGTTGCCATGTTGAAATATAATCTCAAATTTGCTCAGTTTATTGATTTATATGGAAATCTAGACTTTTCTATAAAACCCTCTAGGTTTTAAGATAATTGGCTTCAACTTTGATTTTGTTGTAAACATTCTGTGCATACAACATGACCTATTTGTACCAGGTTGCTGTTTGCAATCTCTGATTCAGGACCTGTGCATTAGGATTATAGATTTCTCTCTTTTTCAAACAAGAGCAAATAGTTCTGTGGAAACTATAGGAGTTTTAATGCCTGTCCCTTATTAAAACTGACATTGCATTTTTTTTTTGTCCTTTTAATCTGTTTCCACAGGTGAGAGAGAGATAAGCATTGATGATATACCAAAATTAAAAGTGGTGGAAATTTTCATTTACGAGAGCATGAGGTACCAGCCTGTTGTGGACTTGGTCATGCGCAAAGCTTTACAAGATGATATCATCGATGGCTACCCAGTGAAAAAGGGAACCAATATTATCCTGAATATTGGAAGAATGCATAAACTTGAGTTTTTCCCAAAGCCCAATGAATTTACTCTCGAAAACTTTGCAAAGAATGTAAGAGCCCTTCCTTAAAACTGAGTTTACTACTCTTAAAAATATCAACTGTTAATCCACTCAGGGTCTGTGTCTTTGCATTTGTACATTACATTCTAATTACTCTTTCCCCTTTGCCAACCTCCTCACCAGGAGCACACATTTCCATTAGCTTGGAAAATAGATACCTTATTTGTCCTTCAGCTCACAATGCTGGGTCTCTGGCTGTGGAAAGTGTCTACATGGTAGCCACACAATAGATCAAAATATGAAAAGCCCAGGTCATTAGTTTGATTCAAATGAAGCTAATAGTTTTTCGCAAAATTACCTTACTTTTTTTCATTTAAACATATACTTTGCCACTATGCAAATTCAGTGAGCATGTCAAAAGGTTTTTTGGGTGTTTTTTGTTTTTTTTTTTTTTTTCCAGTCTCTCTTGGTTCATCAAATGGACCCATGTGATGAGCAGTATGTCCCACTCTAAATACCAAAATACAAACCCAATGCCGCCAAGTTCATTCAGACTCATAATGAATCTGGATAGAACCGAACCGCTCCATAAGCTTGCTGAGACTATAATTCCTTGTGGGAGCAAGTAGATAGCCTTATCTTTGTCCCAGGAAGTGGCTGGTGGATTTGAACCTCCTACCTTGCAACTTGCAACTCGCTACTTAACCCACTGCACCACCAGGTCTCCTTCATTTTAAATGCTGTTACTATTTTTGAGTCAAAGTGCCCCTGTATAGGATTTCCGAGGAGTGACTGTAAGCTTGAACCCCAGAGCCACAGAGTCCTCAGACTCAGGAATGTGGAAATCATCTAACAATTTCATTAATATCATATGCAAGTAAAATTGTGCTGAAGATAATTTTAAAATGGCTGCAAAAGTACATCAACAGAGAGCTGCTAGAAACTCAAGCCAGATTCAGAAGAAGATGTGGAATGAGGGATATCATTACTATCATCAGATGGATCTTGGCTGAAAACAGAACATACCATAAACATATTTACTTGTGCTTTATTGACTATGCAAAGGCTTTTGACTATGTGGATCATAACAAGCTTTAGGTAACTGTGAAAAATAGGTATTCCAGAATACTTGAACAGAACAAGGGAACACTGAAGGGTTTAAAAATCATGAAAGTTGTGCGCCAGAGATGTATTCTTTTACCATACTTATGCAATCTGTATGCTGAGCAAATAATCAGAAAAGTAGGATGATCTGGAGAAAAATGTGGCATCAGAATAGGAGGAAAACTCAGTAACAACCTGAGAATTGCAGATGATACAGCCTTGCTTGCTGAAAACAAAGAAGATTTAAGATACTTACTGATGAACATCAAAGATCACAGCCTTTAGTATATACTGAGATGGTACCTCAGTATATACAGAGGGAGTTCTGGTGTGGTGCTGTGAGTTAATGCAGCAGACTGCAAAGTCATTTGAAATGCAAGGTCGGTGGTTCAAGCTCACCAGTCACTCCTTGGAAACCCTATACAGGGTCCTATGGGTCAGAACCGACTCCTGGCACTTAACGACAACAACACGTTACACAAAAATAGACTGCCTTTGCACAACAGTAGTCGAGCTGCAATCATTCCACAAAGCTAGTTGGTTGTTGTTGTTGTTGTTAAGTACCGTGGAGTCGGTTCTGACTCATAGTGACCCTGCACAGGGTTTCCAAGGCTATAAATCTTTACAGGAACAGAAAGCCTCATCTTTCTCCTGTGGAATGGCTGGTAGTTTTGAACTGCCGGCCTTAAGGTTAGCAGCCTGATTCATAACCACTACACTACCAGAGTTCCATGTAGTTGCCTATACTACAATGATCTGCATTGCTTTGACCCAGCACATTTACACGAAAAACAGAGGTGGGGGCTGTCTGGGGCTGGATCTGTCTGATAATGTATGAATCTAATTTGATAGACCAAAGAGCCTATTTGAATGACAGTCATCCATCTGAATGAAGGAGCAGTATGTCTGAGACCCTGTGTTTCCAGGGTGAGTCAGAGACTGTGTGACTTTTAATCCCTTGGCTAATTGTCTGATCCTTTTCATAGGTTCCTCAAAGGTATTTTCAGCCATTTGGCTTTGGGCCCCGTTCCTGTGCTGGAAAGTACATCGCCATGGTTATGATGAAGACCATCCTGGTTACACTTCTCAGACGGTTCCATGTGAAGACAATGAAAGGACAATGTATAGAAAACATGCAGAAAAGAAATGACTTGGCCTTGCACCCGATTGAGACTGATGCCTTGCTGGAAATGGTTTTTGTCCCAAGAAATTCTGACAAGTACCTCGAACACTGAAGAAGGCTGGTCAGTACCTACTCAGAAGTATTTCCTATCAGTAGTTCACATGGAAACCATCCATCCTTGCCCAGGTAGTTATCATCCTCACAGTGGCTCACAGCATTTTATAGGCACATTTCCTATAGGTGTCATCTGATCTTGCCTAAAGCAGAGAACCAGGATATGAGAGAAAAGACAGAGGCCAAGAGTTGGCAGGGGAAATGGTTAGTGTAGAAACTGCAGCCCCCGTGACCCAGTTTCATGTTTTGGAAAAATAGATGATCAACAAAACGTATCCCCAACTTCCTGTGGGATCTCCACTGCCCTTTGCAAGGGTATTTTAACATTGGGCAGAAGCACACAAGTCAATTAGGTGGGCGAGACAAATGTCTGGGTAACTGGGGCCAAACACACCTATTGGTGTGGATAAAAAGTGCTTTGATTTGGTTTTATGAGGGTAGAGACTGCATTATTCATAGTGTTGGAGAAATGCTGACAAATGCAGCATTTGACTTTTCCCAATGAACTCTTGTTATCCCACCCACAGGTGACTTGTGTCTGGTACATTTTCAATCCTTTCTCAGTCTTTTAATTCATGCCTCAGTCACTTACCTCTGCTACAATAGGTATATAATCAAGTAATACAAACTAGCTTTTTAATTGCCTGAATAACATAAATAGCCCAATAGACCAGGGTAAGTCAAAGAGTTTTGCTGCAAAATCATAGAAGCCTTTATTAAATAAAAATATCAAAATGTAAATTTATTGTTTCTTGACATACTCTCCCTCTAGATCTAGACACTTCTGAAGGCAGAGTTTCTGTGGTGTTTTCATCTCTCTACCTCCATACGATAAACACTTGACTGTGGACCACAAGGTCAGCAGTTTCAGTCAACCAGCTGCTCCTCAGGAGAAAACTAAGGCTTTCTGATTCCTCAAAGGTTTAAAAAGCCTCAGAAAACATATATAGGGTCACTGTGAGTTGGAATCCACTCTATGGCACATAACAACAACACCTGCCCTGAAAAATTCTAAGCTCTTCTGTTTACACCATGCCAAAATGGCAGTTTGGGCATCCTCAAGGGATTCAAATCACATTCCTTTTCAATGTTCTTTGAGTTTCAGGATCAAAAAGAATTCTGTAGGACCAAGATCAGGGCTGCAGGGTGGATGGGGTAAGGTTTCCCAAGGAAAATCTCCTAAGACAATCTTTGCTACATTTCAAAAATGATTAGTTGCATTGTCCTGATATAAAAAAAGCCCTCAGCACAACTTTCCTGGGCATTTCCTCACCAATGTCATTTTTAATTTTCTTAAAACTTCTTCCTAAACAGCTCCTATGGTTGTTCTGTGTCCTTTAAGAAAATCTATCGTGAATACCTATTTGGGATCCCCAAGAGACAGTCACCATAACCTCTGCTGTGGAGCTGTGTGTTAATGCGTTGGGTCAGTTTGAGCTGCAAGGTTGGCAGTTCAAATCTACCAGCCGCTCCTCAGAAGCCACTGTTTTGATTGGATCTTTTTTTTTTTTTTTGAAGGCACCGTAACAAAACTAAGACAAGTGTATTACTGAAAGAACCTTTCTGCAGCTATCTAATCTTAGAGACAGGAGGTTAAACGACTTTTGTTTGGAATAAACCCATAAACCCATGCATGTATGAATTGGAACGCTAGTCATAATTTTTTTTTTTTTTTAATTTACCCTTGTATCTCCTGTCCTGTTGTTAAGGGCTGTCGAGTGGGTTCTGACTCATAGCAACTCGATATAAGTTTTCCAAGGAGAGACTTTGAACCACTGATCTGTGGTTCAAACAGACCTTGTCATCCCACAGCACAAAACCAGGACTCCTATCTGCTGCTGGGGGAAAAAAAATCACATGATGCATTCATACACACACAAATTACTTTTGCATGTTTACATATTTGCTTAGCTCCATTAGTGCCACTAAGCAAGAAATGACTTTAAATGGAAGAATCTATCAACCCTTGCAATAGCTCCAGTGATGTGAGAAAAGGAAGCCCTCTAATCTAACTAATTCTCCAACTCAGTGGATTCAAACTTCTAAAGGTTGCGCCTCCCATACAATTATCCTTCTTCATCAATAATTTTCTTCTCTCCGTCTTTCAATGACACCACATCAGTAGCAAACATGGTCAGGATAGAACCCTGCAGTCATTTTTTTTTTTTTTTTATCCTATCTCAGATTTTACACGGTAAAAAGCTATTTAGAGATTTAACAGTTATCTAGTTTATTGAATCATTGTATGTTGTTATAGAGAAAATACACCCTTTGTAATTCACTCTCTGGAGGGAATCAAATAAATGAGTTAATTTTCCACACATGACTTTACTGGTGTTATAGCCAATATGGCTAGGTCTACTGAATGCCATTTTTTTAGAACTAAGAAATTAAATTCAACTACCTGGATATTTGTGGTCCTGGTGTGGCACTGAAGGATAAGCACTGGACTGCTAACCAAAAGGTCAGCAATTCAAACCCACCAGCTGCTCTTTAGAAACCCTATAAAGGATCTCTATGATCCAGGACAAGTACTAGACTGCTAACCACAGGGCTTGTGGTTCAAACCCACCAACCACTTTTCAGAAACCTGAATTGAGTTGGAAAGGGCTCACCAGTTAATGACAACAATCTGGATATTTATAAATATGCCAATGTTTTCCATTATGTCAACAACCATTCCAACATTTGAATATTCTTTTCATCTTAATGTTTGATGTTAGGGATGTGAGTGCACATTTCTTGAAAGCAGGAACCATTTTCTTTTGTAATCCTCCCCCCTTCCCTTTGTTCTGATCCTCAGGGTGTTTTCAAGATCAGCATGAATTAGACACTCTTGCTCGTAGATATTCTCAACTAACTCAACACAACTTTCCTTGCCTTTTTCTCACTAATGCAGTTTTCAGATTTCTTAAAATTTCTTCATTATAAGCCTCTGTAAACGTCCTGTGTTCTTAGAGCAAACCTATCAATAGTTCCCTCTTGCTGTTGTTAAGTGCCGTTTAGTCTATTCCGACACATAGAGTCTATTCCTACCCATAGCGACCCTGTATAGGGTTTCCAAGGAGCAGCTGGTAAGCTTGAACCACCGACCTTGCAGTTCAAACAGCTTTGAAGTCTGGCGTATTAACCCACAGCACCACACCAGGACTCCAGTTCCCTCATGAATAACCCCCCAAAACAATCATCATAGTCTTCTGACTTGAACTCTCTGCCTTGAATTTAGCTGGCCCAGGAGATCCTCTCAGAAGTCACAGTTTTGATTGGATCTTTTTTTATTTTTTCAAGGAGCTCTAATTGTGGTGCTGCAAGATAATGTACTGAACCGCAAGTTCAGTTTGAACTGCAAGATTGGCAGTTCAAACTCACCAGCCGCTCCTTGGAAACTCTATTCAGGGTTGCTATGGGTTGGAACCGACTCAATGACATATAATAACAACACAGAGACTAAGACAAGTGTATTGTTGAGATAAGCTGTCTGCCATCATCCTCGGATTGCAGATATATGTTTAAACATGATTAGTTTGGAAAATAACTCGTGCATATGTGAACTGGAACCCTAGTAGCAATACTTTTTGACTTACCCTTGTATGTAGACAAGACTTTTGTCTATATAGTCACAAGGTGATACGGGAGGTTTATTAAGTTGTATATAGATAATTTAGGTACAAAAATATGCTGGGTAAAACTGGGAAACTGGAGCAGGGGAGGAGGTATAAAAGACAGGAAGAAGGCAAATGCTAATTTGAGTGACCCAAGAAAAAACACTCCTAGAATCAAATTAAACTGGGTAGTGGTTCAACTTTTTTGCTCTGCTTGATCTATATAGACAAACCTTATATATTTGTATGGGCTTGGCCTAAGGAATTTGAAATCCCACTGACTTTTTTGTAGGCTCCTGGTGTGTTACTGTAGGATAAGCAGTTGACCATAAGGTCAGTTTGAGCCTCAAGGTTCAAACTCACCAGCCACCCTTCAGAAACCCTATACAGTTGAGTCAGCATCAACTAGACAGCACTTATCAACAACAATAATAGGCATATATTTGACAATCCTATTTTTCCCTTCAAAATTTTATCTCATTGTTTAGTGCTTAATTGTCATTTTTGAAAGAGCTGTGGCTTCTATCTTATAATCAGTTTTCAAAGACCTGGAAAGTGGAAATTATCAGTGAAATGCATGTACGCATGGGTTCTTCTCTATTAAATTGTGAGGACAATTGTACCCTCATATCCTCAAGTATACCAGACAGTTACCTATGCTTCATGGATATCCCACTTTTCCTCTTCTAGAGGAAGGAATTGTATTCAGAAAGTCCCTTCATTGCATATCTCATTATCCATGGTGCTAGCAGTCCACAGAAGTATGTGGCATAGGTTCACTGGAAAGCTTGATGGCTCCCTTCTGTCACCTTCTGTCTCTGGAACTGAGCCTCTCACGCATACATGTAGAAAAGCCTTTGTTAAATTAAACTATGTTTAATTAATGAGTTGATTGGGATTTGTGATACTTGGACTTAGCTCAAAATACAAAGTAAGTCATGGGGTTAGCCCAGACAGGGTTTACCTGATTGAAGTCTTTCATATCCTGTCTGCAACTTTAAGCAGGTGTTGATCTAAATCTAGAGAGTCAGTTGTCATACCCTTATTTCCATCAATCAGACAAGTGGAGTGTATTTAGACTAGGCAGCCTGGTCATTGAACCCAGCCCATTAGGTTTATGCTGCATCCTACCCCACCCATCTTTTTAAAAAACTTAACACCAAAAAGCATTTCAAAGTGCAAAACAAATACTTTTTTTTTTTTCAAAAAAAAAGAACTATCATAAGAATAACCTCATAGCTACTCTCATTTAAAACCAAAATCATCTGAGAATGATTCACAAATGTCAGTGTTTTAATTTACTAGTAATGAATTTCTTGTAATGAAGTTGAGGGCCCATGCCCCATAATTCTTAAAGTCTGTTTCAGCTCTGAGACTCCATGGGCAGGAAGGCAAG